TTCTTTTGCTAACTCTTCCATTGCGGATGGTGAGGGTGAGGTGATGAAACCAAAGAAGTTTTACTAACAAGTGGAATACCCCAACCACGCCCTCTCTTTGCACTATGCGCGTACAAGCTCTGTTCGGCATGAGGTTCTACATAGGGTATTTTGAATGATTTTTTTCCTGCTTTTCCTCTTCACTTTTGGATCACTAACCAGCTTTAGCCGCGAAAGTCACCATTGCAGTTGCTCCGACTGATCCCTCAAGATCCAGTGAAAGCGAATGTAGGACACGGTGTGATCCATATTTCTGGTGCTAAATCTTACCACAATATCTGCTTGCTTGCTGATTTACAGCAAAAAGTAGTAGGAGCGAGTATAGTAGCTGCTAGTGCAGTGGTATTTTCCATATGAGTGGTTACGTACAACTGCTATCACTGCAGACAGTCGCAGTGTGTCAGGATGCTGGAGCAAGTCCATATGAAGCTTATTCTACCATTGGTTGTTTTCTCCCTAATTAGGTCACTGACAGATTACTATTGGTGGAAAAGGTAGCGGAGGACGAGTTTCTTCCATCCCTTCTGACCCGCCCAGACTGATTGCCGCGACATCAACTACATGTGACGTTGTGTGTCTTCTGAGTGAACGCTGAGGTACGCTCAAAACGCTGACGCAAAGTACGACAGCAATCCTACGCGCGTTGTAGCACTTCGGTTTCTTTTTCACAAACCCTTCACGATCTGTACACATACTGGTGCTCATGTGCAGAGTCCATAAGCGGAAGAGTAGCGCGGTCAACACTACAGTACCGATTGGTTTTTTAAATTTACCTAGTGCATATAACAGTAAGTTTTTTTACTACTTATCACAACGGCTAGATTCCATTTGAAATGCCACTGCAATTCTGAAAGGAAGTTGAATACGTGCCTGAACAAGGCGCAGGCAAATTTTAGGAGCCCATATCCTTTTATCCTCCTGGATCACCTGGTGTCATGATCCCGTCAGTTATCTAACGACGTGCTTTCTAATAATCTCTTTGTATCAGTGTGTTCTTCGACTGCAATCTAGTCGAGCCTCAAGGGAATGTCATACAAAGTATCTAATAAACCGAACGGTCTAGTCACCGTTTTCACTATTACCTATCATATCCATACTTGAATCCAGGAATTTAGTATTCTCAAGGGCACTTACTATTAGGGGACTTCGAGGTTTCACGCTGTA